ACTCGAGGAAGCTAAAGGGCTATGGCCCGAGCTACTGCTGGAAGTGTTGTGGGCGCACCGGACCTTACCAAAGTCCTCCACAGGAGAAACACCATACTCTCTGGTGTATGGAACCGACGCGGTCATACCAGTCGAAATCGGCGAACCAAGCTTGAGGTATTCACATACCAGCAGAGCAGAGAATGACATAAACAGACTTCAAGACCTCGATGAGGCCGAGGAAAGAAGAGAAATGGCCCACATAAGATTGGTGGCTCAGAAACAACAAGTCGACCCAGCTCGACTACGACAAACAAGTAATTCGACGACAGTCGAAGTTACGTACATGGCTAAAGCCATCGACAGTATTGTGGCTAAGGCCATCGTCGTCAACAAGTCGACCCAACTCGACTACGACAAACAAGTAATTCGACGACAGTCGAAGTTACGTACATGGCTAAGGCCATCGACAGTATTATGGCTAAGGCCATCGTCGTCAACAAGTCGACCCAGCTCGACTACGACAAACAAGTAATTCGACGACAGTCGAAGTTACGTACATGGCTAAGGCCATCGACAGTATTATGGCTAAGGCCAATTAGACTTAACAGTCGCCAATCCTGTTCGACTACGACGAAAGGCACTCAACTAACAATTGAAGTGATGCCATTATTAGCTAAAGCCACCACTATTTAGCGTCAAAGCCGCATCATATCGGCTGATAACATAGACAACATTCGAGAAACACACTGAAAATCCTACAAATGAGCACCCGCTCTGCGAAGACGAGGTACCGAAAATAAAAGATACAAAAGGAAAAGAATGGCAGCAAAAGTACGGCTTTCATTATCATTCAAAAAATGCATGTACACCTGACCTTACAAAAGGTCCCATTTACATTCCAAAATACAACAAAACAAAATAAATACAAGTCCTAAGAGGCTTCGCCGCTTCGCCCGTCACCCCCAGCGTGACCGCCATTCTGCTCTTTGTCCCCCGCCTGACCGACATCTTGTTCATCGCCGCCCCCTGGTTGATAAGTTGCAGAAATCCAAGAGCCGGATTCTAGACGGTTGACGTCTTCGGAGTTATAGCCCGCCCGGTCTGGGGAATCAGAACTATACCCACAAGTTTCACGGGCGACACGGGCTATGCATCGTTGCTCCTGAACCTCCGCCTCAGTGGCTCGACCCGCAGCTAAGAACTCCTCGAATACGACCAATCTGGCCTCGGCGTACACCCACATATCATGTGCCTCACGATGCGCATCCTCATCAGGCCTTGGCACAGCAGTTCGCTTAAGGACTTCAATCTCAGCCACCTTGGCATCGAGTTCGGTGGTCAAAACGGCAACCTTGATCCGCAAATCAGCAGCTTCCGCCGCTACCCCACGGCCAACCTCCAACTCTTCTTCCTTAGACTGGAGAAGAGTCTCCAGCTCAATGTTCCGAGCCAGAGCAGTCATCAGCTGCTCGTCGATCTGCTCCAGCTCGGCCACACTCTGTTTCAACTGGGCCTCCGACTGTTCGAGACCCTCACGAAACACCCGAAATTCCGGGTCCTGCTTGAGCAGGTCCGCCAGCGCCCGATGCTTGGTGCAGCACCGTTGGTATTTCTTCGCCATCTTGTTGAAACTGGCTGCCTTCTTGAGCGCCCGCCGCCTCCTCTCCACCTCCAAAATGAGAGTCTAAAAAGGAGAAGAAAAAGGAAAGGCAGGTCAGTACGCATCACAGTTAGCCTTACGGCACAGAGAAAACTGAAAGCTACCTGCAAGGCCGCACAAGCGACCCTCCGCGATAGGTCCCCGTCGCTAACATCCCTCAACATTTCACGCTCAGCGGCCGCACATAACAGGGTCATATCCGTTGCAGCCTGCTCGCTGTGTTGCAACAGGTTATACCCTCCTGGGATCATAATTCGGCGGTTAGACCTACCCGCTGTCATCTCCACGTGGGCTGGACCCCTCGCCAACCCATCTACATCTCCATGGGCGGCCTCAGTATCTGCCCTCGCGGCACCATCGCCCACTTCTTCAACAGCGGCCGATGAACCGCTCTCCAGAACACGGGCTGGGCTGGCATCGGCAACAGCTCTCCTTTGTGGAGCCGACCTCCCAGAACGGATAGCGTCGGCCATAAAAATTGGCCTCGATACTTGACGAGGTTCACTTACCCTCTCGTCTTCAGTCGCTATCCCCTTGCCCGTTATCAACCGCCGCCTCTTTCTCTCTGGCGGCTCCTCACCTTCGGAAGTCTCCTCCGTAAGCCGCAGGGACGGCACCGAAGGAGTCGCTTCACTTGCAGACGCCGCCATAGGCGCAACCTCCTGCTGAGGAACCTCAGGAGCGCCATCGCCGAACGAGCCGCAGGGTATATCTTCGCCATCAGAGTCGGTCTCCGCCCTAGGTGAGGTAACAACGGCCTTCTTCTTCTTGGGGGCGCTCCGACCTGCCAACACGAGTAAGTTAGGTAACAGAATCTAAGGGAGTTTCCAAACCAAGGCCGAAGAATTACCTGACGGGCCGTACTGTTGAAGAAACGCAGCCCAGGTACGTCCTTCCTCCGCATAAGATATTATTCTTTCCACCCATGATCTAATATCATCAATAAACTGGGGCGGGGAAGCCCTCGCTACAAAAAAAGAGAAAAGAATGAAATCACAGTGGCCAAATGGTCAAGGTCACGAACAGTCATGAATCCTGCAAATAAAGGCACTCACGATCTGGGTTCCACCTTTCCGGGAATCCTTCAGGCTTAGACACCAGGTGCTCCGTCTTGATATAGAAGTACCTGCGCCAGAAGAGGCGGTTGGCCTTGTCGTCAGCCTTAACTACCAAACCCTTTGTACCACGGCTTTTCAGTTGCAACATGGTACCCCTCAGGTAACCGGGGCTGAATAACTGTAAGAGATGGTGAACCGAGACGCCGCACTCAGCCTTAGCCGCGTACGTGGTCAGAATCCTGCACACCTTCAAGGTATAAGGAGTAAGCTGGCCCGGGCACACACTGTAAAAGCGGCAAAGCTCCTCCGCTAGAGGGAAGATCGGAAGACTATAGCCGATCAAAAACGGGTACTCATAAAATGTGCAGTACCCAGGCCTGTGCACATTGGCGTAATCCATCCCAGCCGGAGCCATTTCCACATGGTCCGGAATGTTGTGTGTCACTCGAAGGTCGTCTAGATGAGATTGCAGTAAATCGCTACGCTCCCAGGGAAGGGCTGGACTTTTCGTTTGAAAATCCCTTCGAATATGCATGTCCTTTGGGAGGACGTTGTCTACAGAAAGGGGAACGAGGGTCTTATTTGCCTCCTCCCCCTCACCGCCAGAGGAAGGCGGAACCCTAGATGGGTCAGTGTCCTGGGCCTTTTTACCACCTTGACTACGTTTTACCATGTTGACTCTGTTTGGGAAATAATGTACTAGCGACGACTTCAAAGGAAGTGGAGGAATCCCACATGAAATAACGGTTACAGGAAAGGAAGACGAAGGAGTAAATCATAAAATGCTTTCCAAAAGTTTGAAAGTTGAATCGAATCGAACCTCTCTCCTATTTATAGGGATAAGTTGCGCAGAAATCGAAGAGTCATAATTCAAAATGTGCGCGGGAAACCAAAACGTCACATCATCCTCTGAACCGCCTCGGGGGCAAATATAATAATGACGCATACAGGCTATGACGTCATTCCAAAAAGAAAGCCACGCGTCAGTGGCTCAACAACGTCATACATTTTACCACAGTCGTGTTGCCGCCTCTGGTCGAGGTCAAATTCTCCCAAGCCGAGGTTTGCATTTCCGCCCATTGAAGACGCCCACCAAATACATCTCCAACGAGCGGAGGGACTAACTGTATAGGGTCAAATTTGACCGTCGGCGTCTCTACGCCAATGGGTACGCCCAGTGAGTATACGCCAACTAACGTAAGGGTACGACTCGGATGTGGGGACAAAAGCGACATCGTTTAGGACTCAGTATCTTCACTAGGAAAGCGTTACCTATTTTTATAATTTTTTTTATTATTTCGAGGATGGTCTCCTATTATATAAGGGAGACCTTCACATTGTAAAGGAGGACGCTGAAGTAATACAACTCTCTCATTTTCTCATATTCTCTCTCTATCGCTATCTCTAACGAATACTTTCTCTTGAGTTCATATTATCACTATTAGATCTACAACAACAACTTTATTTTTGATCTCTAGGTCTATTATATTTGATTACGATTTACCCTTTCTTACTTTTGATTGTTTTTAAGCTTGCAAAGTATATCGATAACTTTTGAGCCAAACAAATTAAATTTCGAGATAGAGTATATATATAGTAGTTCCTAAGTGATTATACAAGTTAAAAAAAATTAAAGGTCAAATATCTTTGCTAACTTCATGAAATAAATTCAAAGGAAGGCAGCTATAACTAACTTCTAATTTACAATCAAATTAAGGAAGAACTGCAATTCATTTTGTAAAAGAGGAATTTACAAAGAAAAAGTTAATTGAAGGTACATGGAGCCTAAAATCTAAATACTAGAATAAAATAGAGCAGAATTAAATATGCAATAATTCCAACAAAAAATGAAAAAGCAAATAACAACAACAGGCAAATTAACAAAATAAACTTAACTACTGTTAGATTCTCCTACTGTTAGCTGCCTGGCTTAATAAGTTGGTTAACTTCCTTCAAAACCCGAGGATTTGAATGCTAGAACTCATGATTATTGGCTAGAGCTTTAATGAACATTTCAGGAACTAAACACTTGTCACTGGAATACAACTTCTCCTGTATTAATGGAGATCCAAGAAATTTGTGGAGTTGTGGAGTTTGAAATGGCTCTCCTTTTTCCTGAAATCATACCAACTTTACTATGTTACTATATTTTTACCATGATTCCGTCACTAATTATTTGAATGCACAAAAGAAACAAGATTAAAAAGAAAAAGAAGTGTCTCTCTTGAGCAACGGTAAAGTTGTTTTCGGGTAATAAGTCACAGGTTTGAGCTGTGTGAAATCAGCCATTGATGCTTGCATCAGGGTAGGCTGTTCACGCCTCCTTGGGGTGCGGTCATTCTCCGAACTTTACGTGAACTCGGACTACTTCGTGCCTCATCAGCACCAGCTATATCCCTCCTCAAAGCTTTCTTAACTCCAGAAAAATTAGTTGAAAGTGGTCATAAAGTTAAGAGTGATAAAAAACGAGGTCAATTTCTACTTAGAAATTCGACATATTTATGTCCATAAGTGCAAAATTAACATGAATGAATAAAGAGTTACTGTGTTTTCCTCAAACCTAGAGTAGGACTAAAACAATGAACTCCATTTAAAGTAATACAAAACATAAATTAAGACAAGCCCTCGCTTTCTTTTGCGCTGCCTTCTTCATAAAAGTCGCCAAATTTATCCAATAGCTTGAATTCTATAGTATAGAACGTTGTAATAATGACGTACGGGTCATAACAGACTCTTTTATATTAGTATTAATAATGCATAGTTTCAAAAGTACTTTTATTCGCTTCTCAAAAAAGAAGAAGAAGAGGTTTTTGTTAAAGATTTCGAAAAGAGAAGAACGTAACTAACTAAGATAGGGGCATAAAAATGAAACAAAGAACAACAACAACAACCCAGTATAATCCCACTAGTGGGGTATGAGGAGGGTAGTGTGTACGCAGACCTTACCCCTACCTAGGGTAGAGAGGCTGTTTCCGATAGACCCTCGGCATCCCTCCCTCCCTCCAAGAACTCCCCACTTTGCTCTTGGGGTAACTTGAACTCACAACCCCAACTGGAGGGTGCTCACCACTAAAGCAACCCAAGAAGCTAAAAAATGAAACAAAGAGTATAACATAATACAGCATATATACAAGAAGCTAAAATTACCTGATATGAACCCATGACTTGAAGAATACCAACTTGGGTTTGCAAGAAGTTAATATACTTATACGCAGCTTGAAACATATCAGCAGTGTTCATCTTTTGTCCTCCAGGAATCAACTTCCCAAGCTCCTGTGTCTTCTCAGTTATCTTCTTTCTCCTTTGCCTCGCCGCAATGCTTTGTGCTGACAAATTCTTCTCATTACATTTACTTCTCTCCTTAGTCCCTGAGCGATTTTCACTTTTATAAACTGGCAAACTTTCAAACTCGGGTAACATTGGCACAAACCCATTGAAATAATTGTTTGTAGTTTCTTGGTAGCAGTTATCTTGAAAGATCTTATGGCGTTTTGGGAAGCTCTGAAAATTATTGAATTGTTGGTGGTACGAATTTACTTGATGCAGAAACAAGTCGTTGGAGTTGTATAGAGGTTCAGAAAACAAGTATCTTGAATAGGAAAACTCTCATCTTTGAAACCAAGAAGAAGCTGATCATCCAGAGCCATTAATTCTGAGTACTTGACTTCATCATGATTAACTGTTCCCAAGTAGGAGTTGGAGTAGTAAATAAGACTATCCATTGACAATTTATAAGAACGAGCTAATTAAGCTCAAGGATTACAAAAACAAGTTGGCGGGCTAGAATCCAAGTTATGTGTGCATGTAGATATTTGTCTAAATGAGGAAATATATGTGCACAAGAACAGATTACCTAATATAATTGGGAGGACAAAAACAAAGTGAGAGAGAATAACGTACAGATACTGTCTTTTCGTTGAACGATAGTAGACGACCTTACAAAGAAGTATTTTTACGGATGACAAAGTAAAATGTAATGGTAACCAATTTCCAGGTAGTGGGGGATGGAGGTGGGGGTTAGTGGTGAGGGAAGTTACTGAGAGGGGAATATAATTAAGAGTAATGGAATATTAACTGAATCCTGATAATGTGGAGGATCTTTCTCTCTTCCTCTTCCAACTGTCCAACCGTTACTTGTGCTTTAATTAAGTTTTCACTGCATTTTTTTTTATTTTTTATTTTTATTTTTTTACCGTGGATCTAACTAAGTCCTCATTTATTTTTATTAAGATGTCTGAATCTGAATACACATCTGAATATAAAATTGTGTATTAAGATTCAGACGTCTGAATCTGAATACACAACTGAATAATTAATATGCTGTCTCTGGATCTGAACACTGAATGATTAAGACTGTTTGTTTTTAGTATCTGAATATGTGCAATTTATCTATATTTAAACATAGCATATATAAAATTCAAATAAAATAGTTAATTAACATTATTTCAAATTCTAATGTTCAAGCATTAAAAACATATTTCTAATAACAAAAATATAAAACTATCAAGCATTCCTCTTCCTTGCATTAGCTGAAGTGCAAGTTCTTCACGCATATTGTTCATAAATTGCGAATCTTCAGTTGTCCAGCTAGGTCCATTTGTTTCATCCAATACTTGTTCGTGTTCTCCTTCTTCCTCAAATATTACTTGAGGTGAATCATATTGACTAAACAAGTCATCATTTAGTCGCTCTTTTCTGATAAAATTATGAACTGCAAAACATGCAATAACAACATCTCTTTGGACATCAATAGAATATGGAACCATCTTGTCCAATATTGAAAATCTTGCTTTTAAAACTCCATAAACACGTTCAATAACATTTCTGAGTTGTGCATGAGCATGGTTAAACTTTTCCTCCTTATTTATGGCCCGTCTACGATGATAATCTCCTAACCAATATCGAATATTATGATATGGTGCTAGAAATCCTCGAGTATTAGGATATGCCGCATCACATAAATAGTACTTATCTGTCATCAAAAGAAAAGGTTAAATGCATATAATAAACACCTAACTTATTATTTCAGAATAGTATAATAAGTTGTATCACTTACTATAAGGAGGAAATGGAAAGCCATTATCTGGATTAGATGCGATCTCTGTTAGAACACGTGCATCATGTGCTACCCCTACCCATCCATCATAAACATAAGTGAAGATCATGCTAAAATCACATATAGCTAAAACATTCTGATAACATTTACCCTTTCCTCTTCCTCTGTAAATAATTTGTTGATTAGCTGGAATAACTGCATGTACTAATGTCCTATCGAGTGCACCTATTGCTCCTTGCAAATAAAAATAATAATTTTATGTTAACAATTATGAATTTTTTTTCTTACGAAGTTATTGAATAATTTTATAGCACATACTACCTTAAAAATGTTTCATAACTTTTTATGAGCACCAGTCATTTGTGGATTTGAATCAGATGTTGTAGATGATATCATCTCTTTTGCAAATAACATCATTGCTTCAAGAACCTCAAAAATATTTGTGAACCGTTTGCGAAGAATGTTGAAATCTTCTCTTCATAACCACAAAACGCTCATTATGACCTATAATGGTCAGAAATATTGCAATCTTTTCTTCGACGGAAATATGTTTGCTATCTATGAGCCATCCTTTATGTCTAAAATGCTGACATAGCCGAACATATGCATCACGAGACATGCGCATCAATTCTAAACACTGTCGACTAGAGCCGGACAACAATTCTTGTGTGTACTTTTCACCAGATAAAGATGATGTTAAATCTTTATTTCTTTGGATATTCTTGAGTCTAAAATGATTTTTACACCAATACATGCTCATCAACGCTAATACTTGATCCTCAATGTCCATGTCTAAACTGTTATAACAAAGAGAATGTGTAATACACAATAATAAGCATACCACATTATGTATTTGAAAAATATAAAAAGTTACATGATAAAAATAAATTAATTAGTAAAACAATACCATGTACTTCAAACATACCTCAAATAAGACATTTCAAATAGGTATATCACAGATTAAAAATGTTCTACGAGCATAATATTTTATTAAAAAATTAAATAAGCATAATCGATAATAGTTGGAAAAAAGAAGAAGGTTCCATATTATTAACGTCTAATTAATAATCTAGCTAATTAGCAAAATAAAATAAGCCCCATTTTTCTTCCCATGGCCTTAATCCAATTCTCTAATTTGTCGACCTCGGTAATGTTCATCGATGCTTTCCTGTAGCTGTCACCTTCGCAAAGTATACTAACAGTTGCACTGTATAATGGTTCTTCCCATCCAAGTTCTTCTAGTTTAACCATATACTCTTCAACGTCAGGCCCACTATTTTTTTTAACCAATAACTCTAATGCAATACTCATCTTCTCTTCAATATCCAATTGAGACGATGCGGATTTTTTTTCTTTCCCAAAGGTTTCTTTTCAATTGGAACTGAAGACTGAGATGGATAATTAGTAGGAGCTTCATCATTCTTATTACCAACTAGATCTTCGACGCTATCAAGTGTATCTACATCTATAGTAGTAGATACTGAAGATACACCAATGCAGGGATATGTACAGCTTGGACTTCCAACCATGAATTCTTGTTGCTGTTGAACCCTCAAAAAGTTTTGTACAAAGATCTGGAAATGGCAGAGGCGAAGTCTTTAATGCCTTTGCTTTTGGATGAGCCTATAATAAAGAGATTTTTAATATGCACATCAAATTTTTTTCTTTATAGAAGAAAAAAGGAAAAGTTAAATTACTCGATAATGAACTAACATTTATGTACTCATCCCCACTCACTATTGGACAATAGAATGGTATTGGTTGCTGGATCATAAATATTGCCGGTCTTTTTGGTTATTGGCAACCAAGCTTGATACTTTTCTTTTAGATAATCATAATGATTCTCCATCTGCTTTTGCGGGACACTAAATCCACGAGTAATCTCCAAAACTAGTTTAACTTTGTTCCATGAATCTGCCTTTAAACTACTTTCAAGTCTCCCATTTAAGGATATTTCTTGAATACAACTTTCTAAAAAGGTTTTTACTACATCCATATTTTTTCAACTCGCTTTTGAATTTTCACTAGATTGTTCCATAGCTGAAATATAAAATAATAATGATTATAGAAAATGAACTGATGAGGCAAAATGAAGACAAAAAAACCAGAAGCTCATGAGGACCACTGAGAATTTCATAGCAATAGAGAAGACCAGAGTGCAGTGTTATCTAAGAGACCAGTAAGAGGAGAATAAGAGCTAATAAAGCATAGCACAAGAGAGATATGGTAGATGCAAGGAATCTTTTTGAGGCTATGCCTAGTAAGGATTTGTTCCCAAATGAACTGCTTAAGACGTAGGAAAGAGTGCACTTTTAGACTATTACATGTTCATGTTATACATGGTCATGGTAGTATGATAAAGACTGGAATCCATATATATGCTTATTTGACCAAATTTGGGTTATCGGCCTAAGATGGATTAACCATATGACGACTCATAGTATCGCACTACCAAATGATATCTTAATGGCTATGCTAAGCATGGGAAGCCTTCTGCTGCTTTGGAATTGTTTCAAAGCTTCATAAAGCAGAGTCTTGAGATTGATGTGGAAAAAGTGATAAGTATCATCATAGTTACACAAACACCAACCTGACCAAAGCAAAAGCAGTGATACATCAAAAAAATATCAAACCTACTCCTCCATAAAGCACAATATGAAGAAACATTCATCGAGACTTCAGAACAATAACACAAACCCAAAAGTGGAAGCTAAATAAGAAGCTGTTGACACTCAATGATCTATTTCGGCAATCACAATCAAAATTATATCAAACAAAAGCATACACCCTAATTCCAGAATCACCAACCCTCATCCCTACACGCCCTTATTATTATGGTGCTTAATTCAGTTAAAAATCATATAACACACAAGTATATCTGACTCGCCTACTCCATTTGGGATGCAGGGGAAACTGTTATATCTTACAAATTTTTTCTTTAACATAACTAATAAAAAAAATATCAAACCTACTCCTCTACGAAGCACAATATGCAGATACATATTTCAACAGTGACCAACAAGAATACTACTTGAGATCTTGAAACTCATACAAGTATAATTTTTACAAAATAATAGGCAAGCTTATCGCGAATTTCATAAAATAATAGCAAAATACTTTCTAAAGGTTAGAATCTTACCTGTTCAAGAGAAACAAAAATTGGATAGCCGATGATAAATGGAGAGAGAGAGAGAGAGAGAGAGAGAGAGAGAGAGAGAGAAAGAGAGAGAGAGAGAGAGGCGTGAAACTTTATGCACAGAAGATGAAGAAGAAAGCGTGGAATTTGCTAAAATATAACGTTATTGTTGAGTGAATAGTTGCGGAATTTGTTGAGGAATAATTGGGAAAATCGCGTTTACCGTGTTTTTAAGAGTCTGAGCGCCATTAGGACTTTGTTGTAGGTCTGTTTCGGTGAGATGCATTCAGACTTATTAAGAGGTTTTAAAAGAGAAAAACAAATAGACTTAATGGGCTGGATCTAAATAAGTAGGTTTAAGATCTAAAAAATAAATGCACTTAATGGGCTAGATCTGAACGATTAAGATTCAGACCTCCATTAAGTGCAAACAAATTAGGCCTAAGAGATTCCTGTAAATCTTATTTATGGTAGAGGAATTTTGAAAAATTACTATAATTTAGAGGTTATTTACTTGGTACAACTACAATTTTTTTATTTACTAGCCATAACAAAACTTACGTTGCCATCTGTATTTGTGCGCGTAGGATAGACTGTACCAATGAATACAGTTTTGGTGTATTTCGATGTATTCAATTTACTATATTTAATTCAATTGTATTAAAAAAAAATTAAAGAAATTATAGCGCTATTTGGTTGTATCCAATTTACTATATTCAGTCATAGCTATTTTTATATTTTATTGTATTCGGTTCGGCTGTATTCAAACAATAAAAATTTCAAAAAATACAGGTGAAAATACAAAAAGTCTCCTTCGAAATACAAAAATATATGTGTATAAGGTGGAAATCGGGGCTACCCGATTTCGTTCTTCGATGGAAAAGGTGATACCACGTCAAGGGGCCAGGACGCCGAGCTTGGGGGCGAGGCTCCTTTCCAATTTCGAGGTCGAGGTCGAAATCATTTGCGAGGTCGGAAGAAGGCATACCTCGAGATAATACCGTTATGATTCAGTAAAAGAAAGAGCTAGATACCCGCAACAGCCCGAAGATCACGACGTAAATTGCAGAATAGATTGACCCTTGGCGGTTAGACAACTGTAAATCATAATTTCCTACAATAATTAGAAGTGTACCTTATTTAGGACTCTCCTATTATATAAAGGGGATCCCATTCATTTGTAAGACACATTTTTTGACTGATAAGAAATACATGCACTTTACTCTAGCTATTACTATTCATCAGGGTTGTTTTATAACTTGCTATTTCCACTATTCCACCTCGAGACCGCCATAATTCGAGGTCAAGATTTGACTTGCACACCGGTTTGACTTATCTTATTCTTCAATTTATATATTTGATTTCTTGTTTATCAATTGATATTGGATTAAATCACATATCCTTAAAACCACAATATAAGTTTAATTACTGGGGGGCATCACCCTCCGAGGTTATATTTTCTAGAAAAATACTTCATGTCAAAGGGTCTTGATAGGGAAACCTTGTAATGGGCCAAACGGTCGAGTGAACCGTGTCTATATATTAGTCGATCCCCGATGGCAAAATATGTACGCATGTATAAATTATTCAAAGAAGCATTCTTTCTATATCAAACACTTTGTGTCTCAAAGAAAATTTGCTACTATACGAGCTCCATACTTATGATTTTGTGAGAAATGAATCAAGGGCCAAGCGCAAATATACCTCGAACACTCGGGGACTGTCATCGACAATAACATATTTGAGTTATCTAAACTCGAACTCATAAGACCTCAAAGAGGCGCCCCTCAATCCGAACCCAAGGGTTCGATTACCCCGAGCCCAAATAAACATTAAGTTGATTATGGCTCGGGGACTCACCGTTATTCGACACAAACCCTTAAGGGTCTATGCCTCAAAGTTCGAACCTTATTTGAACTCGACCGTGGTAACTTCAAGGAAGCCACCTGAGACAAAGTCTCGAATACACCGTTCAAAGCATAAGATTATGCTAAAATTTTGCAAGGCAAAAAACATATTTATAATGATCGAGAAGGCATTCAAGAGAAATTTTTCTTTTATATATTTGGAAAAAGATGTGTACAAGAGACCAACAGAGGTCTTACAAAAAGAAAAAGGAAAATCCTAACTATGCTCGGGGTTGGTTTCTCCCTCGGACCCGCCTTGGCTGCCTTCATCATCATCATCGTCGTCAGAAGAGACGAGAAATCTGGCATCAGCTTCGAGCGCCTTAGCTTGAGCTATTTCTTTAGAGAGGTCGTAACCTCGAGCGTGGATCTCCTAGAGGGTCTCCCTCCGGGATTGGCACTTGGCCAAATCATTGTTCCGCCGCTCTCGAT